ATATCGATATATTTTTGTCAAATTTTTATGATATCGTCAAACATATATTTTATTCAAAAATAAAAACATCATCGCTTTCTTAAAATCACATAAAGTCATATTATAACATCGACTGAGATAAAGAATAAAATAAAATATTAAAAACACGATGTATCTCGCTGCATTGCGCGAGTACTCTTCTAGTTTTAAAGAAAAAATGCTATGGTCAAATGTTGAAAGCCCAAGCCCACAAGATATGAAGCCCACATGTTTCAAAAGTTCTCTCCGAGTTAGTAAATTATGAATTTGATCCCTATGGTTTGGTAGTTTGTACTAAAATGGTCCCTAAAGTTTATTATTATAAATTAAGACTTGTCGTATGTCATTTTGTAACAGATTGGTCCCTCACCCTAACAACCATCCACTTCATCCGTTAAAGTTAAGGATATTTCCATCATTTTATAATATTCTCCATTTTAACATCAAGTTTTTTTTTGTCTTTTAACTTTTTGTCCTTTTATATGTTTTTTTTCTTCTGCATTTTTTTAAATATCCCAAATAATAAGAACCGAAATGTAATCAACTCCATTGGATGTGTAATGTGTGTATATTGTATATGCACATATCCTTCGACGAGATATTTCCTGACGCCATATTTTTCGACGTATTAAAGAGATGTTTTCCGACATCTTAACTCGCCTCCAACGCCATATTTTCCGACGAGATCGCCCCTCCCCTTCCTCGGTATATATTACACCCATCACCTCCCTCGCCATATTTTTCGACGATATCAACCCCTCTCGTCCCCTGTTCCCCCATCTTTCCTTCTTCTGTGTGAGGAACTATTTCCACCCACCACCTTCTACCTCCTACAAACATCACCTTTGCCAACGACCTTCTCCCTCCAGCAAACACAAACTCCACCAACCATCTTCGTTAATCACCCCAACCCGCCACCTTTCTCAATCACCATCGACCTTCTTTTACACAGAGAGAGAGAGAGACACCCATATGTTAAATACGTACACACAACCACACATACATATACACACATACACACTATCTCTCTCCCTCTCTTTGCTAAATACACACACATCCACACCACACATATATACACACTTTGTCTCTCTTAAACATACACATTCACATATTGTTAAAGCATATACACACAACCACACACACTTTATGACTTTCTATTAAACACATAAACACACACACACACACATACACACACACATATATATATATATATATATATATATATACCTTCTGTTAGACATACACTTAAAGAACACATTAGAGCAGTGTATGGGGGAGTCATATTTGTAGTGGGGGTGAAGGTCACGTCGGGGATCTTATCGGAGGTTAAGATGGAGATCTTATCGGAGGTTAAGCCGGAGATCTTATCTGAGATGACATCGGAGATCTTATCAGAGTTGACACCGGAGATATTATCGGAGGTTACATCGAGGGTTTGAGGGGTGGGGACGTAGGGTGGGTTTCCGGTCGGGGAGAGATGAAGAGTTTTAATATAAGAAAAATGAAAATGAAAAGTATTTTGAAAGAAAGGCTAAAATGACTATTCTGCCCCTTATTTAAATGTAGTTAATGGAAGAAGGTAACCACCCGTAGGGGCGATCTATTACAAAATGACATACGACAAGTCCTAATTTATAATAAATGAAGTTTAGGGACCATTTTGTAAAAACCACCAAACCACATGGACCAAATCCCTAATTTAATCTATATAGAAATAGAGTGTCACGGTCACAGATACCTTCGATTTCTTTTCTGCCGATTTCTTCGCTACCGGAGGTATTTTCTCGTATTTTCTGCTTAATTTTCTTTAATTTAATCTAATCGAATGTTGCAGTTTGTTGATTACTATTCATTCAAGTTGTGAATTTATCTTTGGATCAATTTGTTAGGGTTGTTTAGTTACGGCTAGGGTTTGTGTTTGTGTTTCGATAAAAAATGGATAGAACATATGAATGTGATCAATTAGGTCTTCATATGGCCGTGTTTGCTTTACGTTTACATATTTTCCGGCGAATCAGTGGGATTTAACTAGTCCGGATTTCTATATTTTCAATTGAATTATAAGGTTAGCATTTTATTTGTTCTGCGCTGACTGCTGAACTGCTGATTGATGTATGAATTCCAAGTTTTTGGTTGAATTGCTGCTCGGATACTGATACAAGATCCAAAATTTGTACTGAATGAAGGCCATCGGTTTTTGGTATAGATACATTGGAACAATATGAACATACAACTGTGCACTTATGTGCTTTTAATGTGTATGCTACTTCTGAATTATCGGCTTATCTTTAGGGGCGACACTGCAGCTATCTCAGGGCTTTAGGCAAAACATACAACTAAATAGAACTTCTCGAAACAGCTTTTTTTGATGAGGGAATGGAGGAAAAATATTGTTATGGCTTAGGTTGAGTTTAAGGAATTTGGAAATTCTTTCTTTAGTTAGAGAACATGAACTAATGACTGAAATGGTTTTTATTTTTTAGATATTACCTATATATGTTTTTCACCACGCTATTATTAACAACCATTTTGAGTGCTTAAAGATTTCTAAGCATTTACATTTAAGATATTAACCAATGTGGTGTGTGAGTGCATTGACTTTTTTGGTTTCTGCTTATAAAGTGTTTCAATGTCATTAGATCTTGCATGATCCTGTTTCCATATACTTTGATCATATTGGGTTTGTTTTTAAAGTTAACACTCGACCATTTGGTGTTTTACAAGGTTGCATTTCTACAGGACAATGGTTAATGCAAATGAAGAGAATGAATCTTCAAAACGGAACTCAATTTCTGAGAATGATGTAGCTCAATCAGTTAATGCTCCGTCAACTTCAAATATGAACGTTGGAAACACTGTGGCTTCTTCTGGAATTGCAGACAATATGGAAGAGTCTGAGTATGAGGATGATGGGGAATATGAGGAAGAAGATAATGAAGAATATGAGGATGAATACGAGGAAGAGGAAGAAGAAGTACCAGAAGAAGAAATGGTAAATGATGGAGGAAGAGCATTGGTGGTAGTTGATGATGACCGGCCTAATATAGAGGAAGAGCACAAGAAAGGTAAGGGTATAGTAGAAGAAACAAACAAGGAAAATGCTGTAGAGGAAAATGCTATTAAGGGAGAAGATAAAGAGAAAGCTGAAGAACCAAAAAATGGTGAGGAATTAGGTGAGAATTCAAAGAGAAAAGGAAGAAGACTTAGGAACAAGAACAAAAATAAGGCTGCACAAAAAGTGTCTGCCACAGTGCCCACTAATGGAGATAAGCCAGAATCATCCACCAAAAAGAATGCCTCAAAGAGGGTTGAGAGCATGGGGATGGTCTTCATGTGTAGTTCGAAAACAAAAAACGACTGCTTCCGCTACAAGATTCTTGGGCTGCCTGCAAATAAGAAAGATCAAGTAGCAAAGATATATAAAGGGATGAGGCTGTTTCTCTTTGATGTTGATCTGAGGTTGATGTATGGGATTTTCAAAGCTGCTGGACCTGGAGGTTATAACATTGAACCTAAGGCTTTCAAGTCAGAGTTCCCATCTCAAGTGAGTATTTATATACATATGCACATAATTGTGTGTATGAATGCCTTTCCAGTTGCTATTATAACAATCCCGATTTATTGATTTCTGAAGCTTCCAGTATTTTGACTTGTGGACAATGGTTAGGTGCTTTACTGATTGATAATTCTCCAGATATTGCATTATAGCAATTAACTCTTTTTCTATCCGATTACTGTTTGAGCTTAGTATTGCTTGAAACAAAGTGTTTTTGAATCATGATACTAATAAAAATCTTAATGGAAATATTAGTAAATGAAATTTTTTCTAGTTTTTCTAATGCAGAGGTCGGAAGTGATTATCCCCCTGCTTGTGAATTTTTGTTGAAAGTATGTTTGTTAAGTTAAGAGCTCATAATACCTCTTAGGTTCTAGACTACATTTGCCTCAGGTGAATTCTTTATGATACTCATGGTTAGTGTCAGGGTGGGGATGTATTAATACAGTTGTTGCAAATGTGTGTTGATCTCTGTTTATTTCCTTGAATTATTTGTATCATTGTTATGTAATGTTTATTTGATATGTTCATCTGATCAACTTCCGTTAATGGATAAATATACAAATGTCTCGAAAGATCTTTGTCTACCACAAAGTTACCAGGAGGTCGAATTCTTTGACCAATGATGGTTTCAAATATGATACATGAAACATGATGGATAAATATGCTCCTTTTAATGTTCATAGTCTTATACCTTGGAACGTGGAATGATTATGAAGTTCAACTTGACAAGATGATTAAAGCATCATTATGACCTACTTACATTGGGTGTGTAAACATCTAATTTCTTGCTTTTAGTGGATAAGTATTGTTAGCTTGTTCAAGATTGAAGCTTGTTTAGGGAGGAAAACTTTATGTTATATGCATATAGAAGCAATCAAGCAGTATCTAAGATTTCCTGCTCTCAGTTATTTACTAAATATTGGCATTTGTGGTAGTACATTAAATACATTGGCTAATATTTTGTTAATTGTTCCTGTACTATGAAATAATGAAATAGTTATTTTGAAGGTCGGGAGCTGAAAATAAGTTTACATGCTAGGAGAACTGGAGGATCACAACCATTTATTGACATATAATTTGGTTATGAATTTGTGATGTAACATTTGATGCTGTTGTTACTCTTCAGCAACAATCTCGGCATAATAGATTAGGGTCAATCATTCTAGGCTGAGCTTATTTGACTTTTAGCAGTTTTGTTGTCCATAGAAGGCTGAAGCTACTCAGCTTTGGTCCATTAATCGTGAACAGATACAGTTTTTTTTATTTCTCCTCGATTGAGGAGCATGAAAAGAAAGGGGATTTAGGACATAATGACAGGTGCACTTTGACTTCAATTTGACATGTCCTGTCTTCAGTTTCTCATCGTGTTTCAGGATTAGATGTTGGCTGGTAAACTAAATATGTATATTGGCCAAAACATTAGTTAAAACAGAGAAGGGACTAGATTTTGAATTATGTAGTAACTGAATCGATGTGGGTGGTTCATGCATCCCCTCTTTCTTCCTTTTCTGGATAGATTTGTTTAGACTCGATGAACTTTGGAATTTTGATGTTAGTGGATGTTTCCATCAACCCATTAATACGTCTTCTTAATCCTATCATTTACATCTGATTCAAGATGCACGTTAAAGCGACTTGTTATGAACTGGACCAATTGAACAATGGAAGTAGTAACCAGGTGATAAGAACAACTGACTGATGACTCAGTTAACAATAAAAAGAGAACAGTTTCTGGCTATTCGAGAGGCCAGAGCTCTCCTAAGAACACTCTTACTATCTTTCTGCATACCTCCACTCTCCCACCACTCCCCTGTTTACACAACTATTGTTACCACCTTATTCTAAGTAATACCCAAACTAACCTCCCAGGCTCCCACTAACAAACTATTTAAAAACTCCCTGAATTACCCCTACTTATCTATTCTAGAATGTACCACGCTTGATGGGCTTGGCCTGGTAGGCGGTTGCATGACATTACCCCGCCCTCAAAGAACCACATTGTCCAGAAGGTGGATAGAAAAAATAAAGAAATTGTTGCTGCCTGGTAACATCTCCTTTTAAAAATAACCTTAAGGCTTCATCTCGCCCCTGTGTGCCTCACACCCTTTAAAACCTTGGTTGAATTGGATCTGCTAGACTGCTACTTCTTTTCAAGAGGGGGGGGGGGTTGGGGCAACTTGTATGGTTACTATTTTATCGGAAGGTCATACTATTTTGTGCACTTGCTTCATCCTTTAGATATGCTGTTCTTTTGTCTTCCTTGACCAATACTGCTATCATACTCTTATATCTGGTCTGTATTGGGATTAAGATGTTAAGAGAAGCACTTGGTGATGCAGACTATGGGTGGGGATTTGTAGCATGGACGAAAGGAGGGAGTTTAGAGAAGATAGAGGGGATACAGGGAGAGGGGTAGCACTCTCACTGTGGCAGTTAGGTTACCAGGGGCGTATGTTTGATTTACATTCGATAGAGCCATAGAGGGTTGTCTTAGTTTTTTTACTTATCTTGCTATGCTGTTAAAATCACAATATATATATATATATATATATATATATATATATATATATCGGCGATATATCGGATATCGGTCTCTGGAAAAATTTCGGTGGTGAAATATCGGTCAAAATATCGGTTCCGATAATATCGCCGATATTTACCGATATTTTGATGGAAAATGGTCCGATATACCGATTTTCTATAAGGCAAATGTTTGGGCTTTTTCTATTACATGTTGGGCTTAGTTTTTTGGGCCTCTTTATTTGGTCAACTAGTCAACACATATATTAGGTCTCACGCTTCTTCTCTTCCCGGTTATTCACAGTTCACGCTTCTTCTCTTTTCGGTTCTTTCACAGTTCACGCTTTTTTCTCTTCTCGGTCTTCTTCATCTTCACGGTCTAGCTTCTTTTCTTTTCTCGGTCTCTTTCTCTTCTCGGTCTCCTCTAGTCGGGATCACTAGGTTGAAAGAACATCTTACTTGGATTTTGAACCTATTGCTTGTGATTAGCTCGTTTTTGAACACTTTTCCTATTTTGTTTTGTGAGACTTGTTTATGTRATGTTTTAATTTTGAAACTATATTTCTAAACTCTAATTAATGCATATGATATGTTTATGGATGCATACATAATATATATATATATATATATATATATATATATATAATTCTAAGAAATATTATATTAACCGCTATTTTGGACCGATATATCACCGATATAACCGAAATATCGAATATTCGTCCTGACCGATATTTTGTATTTTGACCGCAGTAACATCATAGTTATCTTGTCTTCTATTATATGTACTTGTATAATCTGTTCGTTGCAGACCAATCTTCGCTTTTCTTCCTGTACTACCCCCTCTGTCCCAAAATAAGTGTCCCTAATAGAATTGACACACAGTTTTAGACATGTATAATTATTACAACTTTTTAGTTAATCAAATGATGACTTTACCCTTAATTAATTTTTTTATCAGTTCTTAAATATTTGTGCATTAATTAAGGGTATATTTGGAAATTTAGTTCTCTCTTTTTGAAACTGGACACCTCATTCTTGGACGAACATAAATAGAAATGTAGACACGTATTTTGGGATAGAGGGAGTAATAATTGTCGGTATTGCACTCTGTGTTTTCCTTGGTTGTTTAACCTATTTCCTTCACACCTTTTAATTTTTGTTGCGGAAGGCGAAGGCCTTCAAGGAAACAGCCTCTCTGCCCCTTAGGGTGGAGGTAGGCTCTGCCTACATCTCCCCCACTTATACCTCCATGTGGGATTTACTTGTTAAATTTTGTTTGGTTAATGCTAATTGATAAGTTTTTTTCAATAATTGGATGTGTAGGTTCGATTTACTTTGCTTGAGGATTGCTTGCCAGTGGCAGAGGAGAAATTTCGGGATGTCCTTAAAGAAAACTACTTCACCCGGAACAAATTTGAAGGTCTGCTGAAGGCAGAGCAGGTTTGGCTTCTTCTCAGCATGCTTTTTTCCGTACTTATAAATAAGAACACGAAAACGGCCAAATCAAATGTAAAATCACATGTGACCAGGCCCGTGAACTCAGGTTGTGACCAAAGTCTCCCAAAGTCATATGTGATTTTACACTTGTTTGGCCGTTTTCGTGTTCTTTTATTTGGTTACCATTCTCGTTTGAGCCCATGTAGTTCTTACAAACCATACAAACACGTCCATCTAGTCCAATAAATATTTGGTTCCTTAAACATCTCGATAGTTTCCTAATCTAAAGCTATGTGAACCTTGTCATCTTCCACAAGTATCGCCATCATGATGAATGAATCATGATTATTGTCCATAAATATCTCGTTTTTTCCCACTATAAGCGTCGGTTATGGTTTTGTAAGAATTACAAGGTTTGTATTTGAAACCTTCTCTATATATAGAACTGGATCAGTTGGAGGACGTCCTTAGTTACATGATCAATAAATTTGAATTCTACAGGTGAAGAAGTTGTGTAAGCTTTTCGTGGGCACAGGTAAAGGTGGGCCCCGTTCCAGAACCACCATTAAACCTCGTAGAACTGGACCAGTTGAAACCCGTCGAGTTAGAACCAATAGAATTGGACCAGTTGAAACCCGTCGAGTTAGAACTGATAGAACTGGACCAGTTGAAATCCGTCAAGTTAGAACCGATAGAACTGGACCAGTTGAAACCCGTCGAGTTAGAATCGATGAAAGCCGTAGAAATCGAGCCGCAGACGATTTACACGCATCTAGAGACCGGAAGAAACGTAAACGACGTCCCCGAGTGGAAGAACAGCATCCTCTTTCCCCATCAGGTAGGGAGAAACGAAGGTACACCGACTACAAACGGTCCCCCGTCTTGTATGATCGTGAACCCCCGGTCCCACGATATCTACCACCACTACCTCCACCGTCCATAGCCTCTCCGGTTAGGTCGTACAGCTATGAGCGACCTTTGGACCTTCACCCTTACATCCGTGACCATGTACCCGATCCCCGCAGTTACCGTGTACTAGAGATAGACCCGCGGCACCATGATGAGCTCCTTAGACGGGACCTGGACCGGACCCGAGACCGGGACCGAGACCAGTATTACGTATATAGTAGAGAGGCTCCTGTATACCGTGAACCCCTCTACAACGCCCCACCACCCGAGTACCACCTTGTAAGCAGAGAGTACCATCATCCTGTGGTCCACCAAGCGGAATATCGTTTTCCCGAAGTGTCACGCGTACCTAGTTATCGTGACGTGGGTCGCGAGGCTGATTATCGTTCTTCGGCAGCGTTACCCGAATACCGTTCTCATCGAACCCATTACAGATATTAGTTTCGTTATCGGAAATGTACAATAACCTTGTAATATCTTTGCTTTCATCCGCGGAGCTTCCATTAGTTTCCCTAACAAGTAGCATTCGGAAAAGATTCACATGTTCCTTTTGAAGAAGGCATTTTGATTTATTGTGGAGCAATTTGTACTGTAATCACTCCGTGTTTCAAAATAAGCACATATATTTTTATTTTAGTTTGTTTTAAAATTAATATTCACTTTCAAAAATAAATGTTTTTTTTTCAAGGGAAAAGTGCAATAAAAACCAATGGACTTTCTTGTTTGGAATGATTAAGTTCTTAGACTTTTTTTTGGAACAAATAAATCCTTGGACATTTCAAAACATGTTAAATAAGTTCTTGGACAATTTTTTGGAACAAATAAGTCCTTGGACATTCCAAAACATGTTAAATAAGTCCTTGGACAATTTTTGGAACAAATAAGTCCTTGGACATTCCAAAAAATGTTAAATAACTCATTGGACAATTTTTGGAACAAATAAGTCCTTGAACAATCCAAAACATGTTAAATAACTTCTTGAACTTTTATAAAACATGTTGGATACATTCTTATGATTTGTACAACTAGTTAAAGTGGTAAAATAGTGAAAAAAAATCCGGAAAAAACCCCAATGAACATTCATATTTTGAACGATAAAGTGGTAAAATAGTGAAAAAAA